GAAAAATTATCGTGTTGACTTCTGCGGCCTACAGGAAATGAAGCTTCGGGACAGCTTGGACAAGCAGATTGGTGAAGGCTATCGGCTTGTGGGCTTTGGACAGGACAGCGGCCGACATGGCGGCATTGGCTTTGCAGTTTCACAATATTTATCTCCGTTCCTTACCAGATACAAAAAACTGTCGGAACGCGTCGGATACACCGACTTCAAGATCCCCCAGGACCGGCGGGCACGACAGAGTCGACTGACGGCACTGGACGTGAGATTCATCGTGGCCTACGGCCCAACCAACCCGACGGCCACTGCTAACCCTGCTCTCCGAGACGAATTCTACTAAACGCTTTCACGAGCATGGAAGACTCGGAGCAGTAGAACGCTCAAAATCTGCGCCGGAGATTTCAACAGCAAAGTTGGTTCAACTCCCAGCGTTTGTGTCGGCCAATACAGCAAAGGAGTTAGAAACGAGAATTGCGCTGCGCTGGTGGAGTGGGCTGCTTCTCAACAACTCCTGCTGGCAAACACCGTATTCCGATATTCAATGCGTTATAGGACTATCTGGACAGGCCATGTCAAGGTCAAGGGAACAGGCCAAACAAAGAAAATCTACAACATGATTGACTACGTGCTGCTCCCTACGCACCTGCGTCCGCAGCTGATTAGGGCACGCTCGTACGGAGGGACACAGCTTGCCAGTGATCATAAGCTCGTTATTGCCGATCTGGAGACAAGCCGCTTGTTCAGAGCATACGATGCAAAATCTACAAAAAGTATGGAGAAACCTCTTGCTGTGGCGGAGCTTGCGAATCCTGAAAAGAGCCTCAAATACCGAGAAAACCTAAAGCTGAAGCTCCAATCCTCTCTACTGTTCTCTAGTGTGGCAGACAGCATTCCCGTTGCGGATTTCTGGAAATCTACAACCAACCTAATGAGGGAGTCAGCCAAAGAGGTTGTTGGACACATGAGACGCTCAAATCGTGGCACTCTGATAAAAGAAAGTACGGAAATTCAAGAACTATCCCGTGAGCAAAGTGGGCTCAGGGTTCTAATCGACTCTGGGCCGAGCAACGCAGCAGAGCTAAAGAAAGCAAGAAATCAAGTTCTCCATAAAATCAGAAACACCCAGCTTTCAGAAGCCAATGATCGCCTCGACAAAATTGATGAACAAATCGATAACGCTCCTGATTCGGTGAAGATGATTCAGGCGGCGAAGGCCCTGAAACGGAAGTCTGCAGATAGTTCGGTGAAGGTTGAGTCTACCGACGGTGAAGTTGTTGCCCAGAGCCAGGGAAAAGCGGACATAATCGCGGCGCACTTTCGACAGCAGTTTTATTCTGCGCTGATATCAACAGTCGAACGCCCAACGCCCCATAAGCTGGAGGTTCCCGTGGCCATTGCTGAGGTGAGCCGAGCCCTTCAGCGGTTGAAGAACCAAAAGGCCTGTGGAGAGGACCTGGTACATGGAGAGCTGCTGAAATATGGCGCAGAATATACCGGTCCTATAGTTGCAGATCTCCTGAATACCAGCATCACCCGAGGCCTAGACTTCTCGAGCGTCGTCGGCCCAGGCGTCCTAATCCCGTTGGCCAAACCAAACAAACCCCGCGGACCACTCACGAATTTGAGACCGATAGTCCTACTCAATACAATAAGGAAAGTATTCTCACTCGTGATACTGGCACGGATATCAACAACAGTGTCATAATTTCTCCGTTCCTTACCAGATACATGTCTAGACATGTCAAAGGCATTTGACACCATCAACAGAGCCAAGCCCCTGGATGTTATGAGCTCGTTCCTTGGCCGCGATGAAGTCCACATGATACAGCATCTTCTGTATGGCACCACCATATCTGTTCGTATGTGCAGCTCCACTTCCAAGGCATTCCAGACCACCATCGGCACGCCCCAGGGGGACAGTCTAAGTCCCGTGCTGTTCGTCTGTTACCTTGAAGCCGCCCTGCAAGAATGTCGCCCAAGACTCCCACAGCGACCTATAACTGATGGAGGCATCCCTCCAGAAAACGGGGTACGCTGATGACATAACGTTCTACTCTACCAGTAAACCTTGGCTCGAGGAATCACTACCCGTCATATCCTCGACACTGCAGTCTTGGCACCTAAAATTAAATGAGCAAAAAACGGGATGGGTGCACTTTACGTCAGGCGATTCATCCTGGCGGAGCATCAGGCAGCTTGGCTCTCTTATGGGGAGCGCTGAGGATATCGACAGGCGGATTTCCCAGGCATCCCAGGCATACGGTAGTATGTGCAGCCTCTGGCTGGGGCGCAAGCATGTGTCAGAAAGGTCCAGGCTCAAGCTGTACAGCTCGCTTGTGCTGCCTGTCCTCCTTTACAACTGTGAGACTTGGGGAGTACCCCAGGCAGTCTTTCAGCGACTGGACTGTTTTCACCGCCGACAGCTCAGAAACCTGGTGGGAGTGCGATATCCAGACAGAATTACGAATGATGATCTGTATTCCAGATGTGGCTCGCAGCCACTGTCGGAGCTTGTTGCCAAGCGACGCCGTAGCCTCACTGGCCATGTGCTGAGGATGAGTGAGCAGTCACCCCCTTGCCTTGCGATGTCCTGCTATTTTCAAGCGGGGTCACGTGGACGAAGGGGCCGTCCCGCGGCTACTCTCCCTACCACCATCATGAAGGACCTGGCAGGGCACGACATCCCTTTGAAGAATGCCAGCGACCTAGAAGGAGCACGAGCATTTGCTGCAGACAAGTCGAAATGGAGATCAGACATTGTTTATGGATGAGTTTTTTGTTGACTGGAGACAGAAGCGGACTTGGCTTAATTTCAGTGTATTCTCATGCATTGTTCTTTGGCCTTTGTACGCGTGCTGTGGTATTATTATTATTATTTTGTCCTGGTGGTGACAGTCAATTTTTTCTTCAGACTTTTCCCGTTTGTCTCTTTCCCTCAAACCAGTTAATATTATTATTATTTTTATTTTAACTGGTTTGAGGGAAAGAGACAAACGGGAAAAGTCTGAAGAAAAATTGACTGTCACCACCAGGACTCGAACCAGGGACCCTCGCTTGTAGCCAACGATGCTCTAACCACTGAGCTATGGTGTAGTCGTCATCCCAGCAGAGACCGTTCAACGTTTTCTTCAGACTTCGTAACTCGCACTTCCTGTGAATCCACACAGGCGGGTGGGACGCAGCCCTCACTGTAACCCACACACTTCACGTACAAACTAGCACGCGGGGAGCCCCAAGTCATAAAATATGAACTGGTTTGAGGGAAAGAGACAAACGGGAAAAGTCTGAAGAAAAATGGACTGTCACCACCAGGACTCGAACCAGGGAACCTCGCTTGTAGCCAACGATGCTCTAACCACTGAGCTATGGTGTAGTCATCATCCCAGCAGAGATCGTTCAACATTATTATTATTTGAAACTCGGGTATTGAGCCAATAATAAAAGTAGAAAGGAAAAGGACATATGGAAACGAGTTAAGAGTAACTCTCCACCACTGTAACTAGATACTATATACAGTCAGAAAGTGCAACAACTAGGCACAAAACTGACAGAGTACTGAGACATTCGACATTCCGTTGGGACTGTAGCTTGTGCTCGTTTTCGTTGCGCTTGCCTTCCCCTCTTTGGTCTTTCCATAACCTTGAACTTTCCAAGTTGGAAGGCTGTCGGTTAGCGCTACGGAGATGTGTTGAAGCTAGGTGTCAGGACGTCGAATGTCTCAGTACTCTGTCAGTTTTGTGCCTAGTTGTTGCACTTTCTGACTGTATATAGTATCTAGTTACAGTGGTGGAGAGTTACTCTTAACTCGTTTCCATATGTCCTTTTCCTTTCTACTATTATTATTATTATTATTATTATTATTATTATTATTATCAATCACATCTATAGCAAAGCCTTGATAAAGTTGAGAAACTAGCAAGGACTAGATACGACAGACGTGCGTATGGCGTGTAGGCCGTGGTCTGCTAAGGACAAACATTTCCCTCCGCTGTCGAGAAGGATCTCAAGTGACTCAGGGTAGGCCCGAGTGTGCAGGTCCCCTTGTCGCGGGGTAGACCGACTCGGCTTGTCGCAGAGCCGTGATCAACTAGCAGTTAGAGTCCAGCATGCCTGCCGACCTGAATTGGCGAGTCGAATGGGCGACCATTCCTTGATAGGGCCAACAGCTCCGACAGATCTATGTGTGCCATACTGGTCACTATCGGCAAGCATTGTGAATGTCTCGATTTACGTGAGAAGATCGTGAACACCCTCGCGCTCTTTCTTGAGCAATGTGAGCGGATCATGGTGTGAAGCGGGCTCATGCCGAGAGCAGCGCCATCATCCACACGGCTCACGTCCGCCGCTTCCAAAGCCGTCAGTCTGCCGCGGTGTGGCGTTCTCCATTCTCAGCAGGAGAGTCCTATGAGGACAGTTTTCCGGCCTGAAGTGTCCATTCAGACTGTCGATGTTTGAGAGCGAGAAAGTTCGCTTCCGCTGACGATTGCAGGATTACTCTTGTGGACTCAGGATAGGATTTGAAGAACAAGGGCGGCTTTCTGGCCCGAAAAGTCCGTTCCAACGAACGAGAGCTTGCCGCGGAAAAAAATCCTGGCAGAGAGGAAAATTCTGGCAGAGAGCTAGTTTGTGAGAAAACAGCGAGCCAGAGCAGCAAGCCAGCGTGGAACAACAAATGCTTGAAAGGAGAATCGGTACGCACAGGCAATTTAGTGAGCCAGCTGCCATGCTAAGCTGACGTCAGTGAAGGGCGCGCAGCCCCCGGTTGTGTTTGCAACATGTGCACGTGGTCGCATGCACAGACAGTGACAAGGCCAGCATATCAGCTGTGGTATGGGTAAGGAACAAGTGCAACGTGGACCCCATGCAAGAGAGCCAGCTGAGAGGGTGTTACGTGACTGTTAACTACAGTTAATGCTCAGCATAAACTGATATTTGTGTCAGGTTTCCGACGCTCCAGTTCCATCATACATTTTGTTCATCTTTCATGCTTGCTGTATTTTCAGGCATTAGGCGCAATTCAAGCAATGCAAAGCTCGTTACTCGGATGAAACAAGAGGTCCTCAGCACATATGGGAGCATCCTCCAGGCATTATCGGATCTTCAAGTCGTAAGTTGATTGCAGTGTTGCTGCCAACATGACGAGACCACATGTTCACTGTCCCAAAATTCACTCTTGACCCGAAAACTGATGGGAAAAGAGCCTCCCAAATGTTGACAGAAGCACCAAAGATTGTGCTGCATATGTAACTGTATAGCAGTATGGTTGAATAGTCTTGCGATGAAACAAACACAATTTATCAGTAATCGAACGTTCCTGATGCTAACGAAGGAACGAACGAATATTCTTTATTCCCGTAGCTCTGCAAAAGACGTTACTTCAGTAACGTCAGGCGCTAGCCAGGGTCCACACAGCTTTAATTTGGTGTTTGTTTGTTTGTGCAATCGGCATGCCTGGCGCTATCCCGTACCTGTCCCATACCGTACCGTACTATCAAAGACAGCTGGCCACAATATTCAAATAGGGCTTTCAAATGCAAGATCATAACGTGAAGCAACTTGGAAGAATGAGTATGTATGCGAAGTGTATCGGGGGGAATGCATGCAGGGCGAAAGTGCGTGTTCGAATCCTAGGTTATGTCTTGAAAAAATAGGAGAAATGAAAAATTTATAACATCCCTATGCGTTTTTTGCCTAGGTCATCGAGGTGGTAGACGGTGTCGTATTACCCTCGAATGCAAAAAGAACGTTTATTTCTTTCACTCAGGGCCCTACGCTATGCTTTTTTGCCTAGCTCATCATGCATGTTATTCGAACAGATGGAAAAATTTTGCAATACAATGATGTAGCCGATCAGTTCATTGTAGTATGGTTGGGCATTGTAGCCGTCATGGTCGACGTAAAACACTATAACCAACCAATGGAAAAAAAACATTTCCATCAGTTCTCATAACATCCATGATGAGCTAGAAAGAGTATGTGATGAATATGGATGCTATAGTGTGTCAAACAAAAGTGTAAATATCAAACCTGACATTCAGTTCTACATACACATTAAAACTTTAGTATGATCATAGAGCACTGCATGGATATACGATGGTATTGGGTATAAAGTACTATTTTGTTGCTGGTGCATAATGCTATAGGAGTCATTTGTTCTCAGGTAATGTTGTACAGTACCTTGGACATAAAGTACAGATTTGTATGCCCTTACAGTTAAGTTTCATGTATACTCAAGTTGTACAGTATTGTGTTCAGTTTCACATTTAATATTTCTATCACAGTGTAATCGGCTTTCTCCTTTTTCCTACAGGTTCTGACCAATTCTGCTCAGAAAATGCGGTCATGGAGCTAGACATAACCTTGCATTGCCCTGCAAGCCATCTCTGAAACGTTCAATAATATCCTCGGACCAACGTCACTGTCCACTCTGCCACCCACGGCACTCTCCAGAGTGTATCAGTCCATGCACAGTAGTGGCACGTCACCGCATAATCCATGCACAGTAGTCGCACGTCACCGCATAATCCATGCACAGTAGTCGCACGTCACCGCATAATCCATGCACAGTAGTCACACGTCACTGCATAATCCATGCACAGTAGTCGCACGTCACCGCATAATCCATGCACAGTAGTCACACGTCACCGCATAATCCATGCACAGTAGTCACACGTCACTGCATAATCCATGCACAGTAGTCGCACGTCACCGCATAATCCATGCACAGTAGTCACACGTCACCGCATAATCCATGCACAGTAGTCACACGTCACCGCATAATCCATGCACAGTAGTCACACGTTAACCGCATAATCCATGCACAGTAGTCACACGTCACCGCATAATCCATGCACAGTAGTCGCACGTCACCGCATAATCCATGCACAGTAGTCTATACACTGTAACCACACTCCGTCCTATAGTCTATGCAGCATATTCTTAGTTTTGCTTGTATCATGTGAGTGCACAATGTCTGCTCATAGTCTCACACCTGCAAACATACTAAGTACTGTAGTTTCATTAGAAAAAAAAGATAATATACACAATCGGTTTTGTTCCATTTCTAAAACCTATTCACTTTATTTCAATTTCGCACCACTCTCGCAGAATCTCAAAACCTTCAACGGTGTTTAGTTTTTAGCCTGTCTATTCTTATGAATATGTTTGCTTCATTTTGATTTCGTTTTCAATCGTTTGAGGCAGTGCAATTCGTGTATCTTGTGTTGAAACTGCTGTCGTTTGTTTCTTTGCACCTATCGGGATTTGCAGAAGCATACATAGGAAGTACAATGAACAGTTTGGCGACAAGGAGACAAATTTTAATCCGAATCGATAACGAATATGCACAGTCATTCTATGCAATCATGCATCTACACACATCACCCATGGAACAGTTCGTTGGCTCAAGAGCCCGGTCACACATGCACTGGAGTTCCGCTTTGGCGGCGAGGTTCTGCGGCAGCGAGCCTGATGTCTCTCCAGCGAAACCACTTGTGTATGGTCACACATATGGCTGCGTTTACATACAAACAGGTCAAACTCCTACTTTGGCGGAAATGAGAGTGAAGTGGACTGTGGTGTAACAGTCCAACTAACTTCAGTAGTCATTCTTGGAATAAGCAATGATCCTTGCCATAATGCATTCTTATATCCATGAACAAGCAATGATGGACATAACACCTAACAGCAGCAGCGTGATAATAGCAGGTGATAAGTGTATCCTATTCCTAGTGTTAGTAGTAACAGTGAATCTGTTACACCATTCCCCCCTCTCAACTGTCAGAACAGTACCAATTCGAAGGAACAGTTATGGTAACTAATGATCATGCATGGATATGTGGAATGCATGGTAGCCGAAAACAACACTGATGAACTCAAGATCCAGTGCATGTCCTCTGCAAATAACGCCTGGCTGGCAGGGAAGCACTATCCTAATCATGCAGAATGCTACATTTCTATTGCAACACGTAGAAACTAGCAATACAACTGTGGCTGCCAATTAAATAGCAATTTTATGAAAAACGGTCCAGGTAGGTTTTCAGCGGAATAATAGCGTTTCCTGCTTCATCCATCAAGTATTCCTCCGGCTCCCAGGTGGCATCTCGGTAGCCCTTCCATTTCACTAGGTACTGCGTGCGCCGTCCTCTCTTCTTGTGCGACAACACCTTTTCGACAATGTACCGCGTATGGCTATCCGCATCGGTTAGGGGTGGAGGTGCCGGCTGAGTACGGCCCGGTATCTCATTGCCATGGTACAGCTTGAGGGCAGCAATATTGAACACTGGATGGGCCCGAATGATTCTTGGAAGAGCTAATCTGTACGCATTCGGGGCCACTTTCTTCTGCACCTTGAACGGCCCATACCACTTGAGCCTTAATTTGTGTGAAGGCCTGTCTCGTTCCTCGGGCGTCAGCAGGAAGTCCCTGAAGACCAACACCTCATCCCCCTCCTTCAGGGCGTCCTCCACCCGTCCTCGATCCGCATACAATGATTGCCGGGCCTGCGCCGCCACGATGGCATCCTGTGCCTCACGTAGTGCCTCTACGCGGCCATCCAGCCATGACAGCGGACCATTCGTGTCCATGCCAGCTCCAGCTTTCTGCTTCGTCAATAAGCTCGAGGGAGTAACTGGATGGCATCCATGGTTGAGGAAAAATGGCGTGTTACCTGTTGACGCTTGATCGGCATTGTTGATCGCAAACTCACATAGCGATAGGAGTTCATCCCAATTGTTTTGCCTATGGTTGACGAAAGCTCTTAGCGTATCCTCAATGACACGGTTCACACGCTCAGTCATGCCATCGGTCTGCGGGTGGTTGGCCGTGCTCATTTTTAGCTCCACGCCAAGAATACTGAAAACCTCCTTGAAGAACGCCGACGTGAATCGCGGATCTCGATCACAAACTATCGTTTTGCTCAAGCCATGGGCAGCAAACACATGATCCACGTACAATCGGGTTGCCTCCTTAGAGTCAACATGAACAGTCGTCGGGATCAGGTGCACATACTTCGTCAGACGGTCCACAAAGGTTAGAATGGCGCTATGTCCTCGGCAGGTCAGCGGCAGTGCCATGATGAAATCCATGCTGATGTCTGTCCAGGGCTGGTCGGGGACTGGAAGGGACTGCAACAGTCCTGCCTTGGTCTGGCTACCCTTTACGCGTTGGCACCGGTCGCAAGATTTAACGAAGTCCTTCACAGTACTTATCATGCCTGGCCAATAGAAGTATCTGCTCAGCTTCAGGTAGGTCCTGTCTCTCCCCGGATGGCCGGCCGTCAGGCAATCATGATTCTGTTTGAGCAGTTGCAGCCGTACCGGACCGCGAGGAATGCAGAGGCGAGCATCGCCCGATGTTACTAGGTACAGCCGCCGGTCCACACTGTTCCAGACGTATCGCTCATGCATGGCGTCTTCGCTGCAAGCCATCAAGCGCTTGATTACTGGCGAAAGCTCTGGGTCACTATCATACCCTGCTGAGATCTGATTCGCGATTCCTTGATTCAGATCCAGAGAGAACTCGATCCCATTCAGTTCCAAGTCTGGTCGACGTGACAACGGGTCTGCTATGTTACACTTCCCTGGCTTGTGATGTACCGTGTAGTCATAGTCGGCCAGGAATTCAATCCATCGAGCCTCTCTCTTGGTTAAGTTTGGTTTGGTCCTGAGGTAGACAACTCCCATGTTGTCGGTGTAGAGTTGAAAGTGGCGAAATAGGTAGACTCGCCAGCACTGCAGGGCGTACACTACAGCCAAAGTTTCTCGCTCGGCGGCCGTGTAATTCCGTTCGGCAGAAGACAGCTTTCGGCTCACGTAAGCCACAGGATGCCAGGACTGGTCCTCTGCTTGCTGCGTTAAGACTCCTGCCACAGCAAAGTCACTTGCGTCAGTCTCAACGCGGAAATCCTGACTGACGTTTGCTAGTCGCAACACTGGTGCATCCAGCAGAGCAGACTTCAATCGTTCAAATGCCTCCTGTCGAGTCTGATTCCACTCGAAGCGCACATGTTTCCCTGTCAGTTCCTCCAGGGGTTTGGAGATGGCCGAGAAATGGTTAATGAACCTTCGAAAGTAATAAGCGAATCCCAGAAACTGTCTTACGTGCGTGACCGTCGTCGGGACAGGCCAGTTATGCACGGCCTTGATCTTCTCTGGATCTGGGGAAATGCATTGGCCGTCTATCCGGTGCCCAAGAAACAGAACGTCTGTCCGGCCGAATTCACATTTAGACGGTTTGCAATATAGCTCATTCCTCCTGAGGGCGTTTAAGATGGTTCTGACATGATCGAGGTGCTCCTCCCATGATTTGCTGAATATGAGGATATCGTCTAGAAACACCACAACGAATTTACGCAGGTATGGCTGGATGACACTGTTCATCAAGGTTTGGAATGTTGCCGGGGCATTTGTTAGGCCGAAACCCATCACTGTGAACTGAAAGTGACCGAATGGGGTATTTATTGCTGTCTTCGGAATATCTGTTTCTTCTATTCGAATCTGATTGTAACCGGACCTCAGATCTAGCTTGGTGAAATACGCACTGCCTTGGACGGTATCAAAGAGGTCGTCAATATTCGGTAGGCATGCCTTGTTCTTAATGGTTATGCGGTTTAGCTCACGCCAGTCGCATACCATTCGAAGTGTTCCATCCGCCTTCTTTACGAAGAACACAGGGGCTCCGTATGGGGATTTGCTGGGCTGGATGAATCCTCTACGGAGCAGCTCGGTGAGCTGAGCTTGAAGCTCATCCATCTCTGGTTTTGGTAAACGATATGCTGCACGAGATGGCGGTTTAGCTCCTTCTTCCGTTTTTATCTCGTGATCTGCGCCTCTTCTGGGTGGCAGCTTGTTTGGAAGCTCATCGGGAAAGACGTCCCCGAACTCCTTCAGCAGGTCCTTGAAATCCTTCTGATCCTCCCTACCCGGACTATCCACCGTCTGTGGCTCGTCCGGATCTGCTGTCACATACGCTAGGATTCCTTCTGCGCCACCTCTCATTGCATGCCTAGCCTGCTTCCCTGAGATGAGGAACGTCTCGATCGGTGGGTTGGATTTGTCCGTGCCATCACTTTCACTCGGTTGACAGATGATGGATCCACCCTCCAGCTTGATTTCATTGGTACGAAAATTGATCTGTGGGTTCGTCCGGGTCAGCCATGGTTTGCCGAGGATCACGTCATACCGCGTCATAGGGAATACTAGGAACTGTTGGTGCTCGCTAAAGTCGCCGACTACGGTCTTCAAGCTGTCCGTTTTCGTAATAGGCTGTGAGCGGACCGATCCATCAGCAAGTGTGACGTTCAGGACGTCGCTACCGGTTGTTGTGGAGATGTTGTGCTTCTTGACAAGGTCAGTTGAAATGAAGTCGTGGGTTGACCCAGAATCCAGTAGCATGGTAACGCGACGTCCATTTATCTTGCCCTGGACGCGCATTAGGTCGTGTTCGTTGTCGGCGGAAATGCTCCCTGTGCTGGCGGTTACTTCATTAGGCCGGCCAACAGTATCAGGTGACGAATGCTTGACAGGCGAGGCTTGAATTTCGGTCTCCTCGAGGCGTGGTTCCTCATTTGCTAAGGGGCTGAATTTGTTCTGAACTTTGATTCGTGGCCTATTCCTGGGTGCTCTCGTGTTCGCCAGTAGTCGCACTCCCTTCCTTACTGGCGTCCATCGTTTAAAGAAGGCTTGCTTGTGGCGTTCCTCCCTCCTTCTGGACAGAATCTGGCAATATGGCCGGGTTTCCTGCAGGTGAAACACAGCCTTGAACGACCCTCTGGCTCCCTGGTTTCTCTCCCACCGGATGGTGTTGGTTGGCTTGACCAGGGTCCAGGCTGGCGCCTCTGATGCCCTGGTGCGCGCACTGCCTTGGCGTAGCTTGCTTGGGCTAGCCGCATCGACTGGTCTGCTGAGACCGCAGCTCGTATGGCTTGGGCCAAATGTTGCGGATGCTCCCTAAGTACCTCACCGCTTAGGCCCTGAGCCAGCCCATGCGTGAACAAGATAGCTCTGGAGTGGTCATCAAGCTCGGGAACTTGTAAGCTAAGCCGCGAAAATTTGTTGATGTATTCGTCAAGAGTCTCATCTTGGTGAAGAGCGAATAAGTCGATGCGCGCCTGTTCCCTGTCATAAACCGGGCCGTACACTTCTCCCAGCTTGCTCTTCAGGTCTGGCCAGTCGGAAAACAGCGTGTTTGCCTCCTGAGAGGCGATAAACCAAAGACGAGCGTTGCCCTCCAGAAAACTCGCCGCGTAGCTCAAGCGCTCCTCCGCGTTGTCCAGCTGCAGGGACTTCATGGCGAGTTCGATGGCGAAGGCCCACTCCTTGAACTCTCTTGTATCTCCACGAAACACAGGCGGAGACTTCACATGGCGCATGCGTGGCCTCTCTCCGCTGGGAGCTTGAGCACGTCTTGGCGTTTGATCTGATCCATCGCACTGACCGAGTGCGATAAGGTGATTCAGACGCTTCTGAATCTCGAATATACCGTAGGCGACTAATGCGGCCACTACGCATAGCCCGAACATGACGAAAAGAAAAACCATCCTC